CGCGGGAGCCGCTGCCGCGCCTGGGGCTCGGTGGGAGGAGGCGGCCGGGCCGGGGGCTCCGCCGAGTTGCGGTGTCCTTCTCTGCCCCTTACTGCGTCTCTGCTGTGCTTCTCTTCGCGTGATAACGCCGGAGGGAGGGAGGGCAGCGTTAAATGGTGAGAGGCCGGTTGTGCCGGTGCACGTAGCCTCCCCGGAGCTGGCTTTCAATGTCGGGCTTGAATCGTCCCTAGCTTGGCTTCCCGGAGCCAGCGTGTCCCGTGTACCCGAGCCTGGTGGTGTGGGGCAGTGCGTGTTGATTGCCTTTGGAGGCGGCTTTGGGTACGGGATCGTTATCCCGGCTTTGTGCCTGATCCTTTACAAACTTTCGGTAACAGTGCAACCGTCCAAGTGAGGTGTGAGCCGCTAAAGGTAGCGTGTCTCGCATGTGAGAGAAGTCCTTGCTGCAAGAGAAATGACGTTCAGCGGGGTATTGTGCCCGGCTATCACGGCAGGGAGAGCTAAGGGTGATGACAGGAACCCACATGGGCATGTGGCTGCAGGCCTGGAGTGCTGCTTGTCGTGTGGGGTGCTCCTCCTGCTGTGTAACAGAGCTGCGTAGGAAAAAGTTCCCGCGTGGCTTCCTTAGGTTATTTTTATTTGGAGCTAACGCTGTCAAAATAAAATTTTAATGCACAATAAAGCACCTATTTCAGGAATAGAAAGGAATGCAGGGAAGGGGGAAAAAAAAAAAAACCACAACAACAAAAACCCGAACAGATTTGCTGTGGTCTTTGGTTGATGAGTTAAACCTCAGTCACCAGTAACTAAGAGGCAACTTTGAGTAGGTAATAGTTTGAAGTTATATGTATGCATTCCTACAGAGTGGTAAATAAGAATCTTCTAAAAATTCAGTTGTTTTCCTCAGTGACAGATTCTGAAGAATGGTTTGTTTTATGGGAATGATTTGGGGAATCTTGAATAGAAATTTAGAGACCACTTTAAAAAAAATTACACCGAAGTCTGGTTTTGTTTATAGTGAATGTCAGCATGTGTTGTCTTTTTGTTGCCTCTTATGTTTATACCACCTTATTTGCAGCAAAAAGAGATGTTAGCAGTATTAAGGAAAATGATGTGTGTTACATTGGTTATAGGGATTAAATGGCTAGTCAGATGTGAAAGTTCAGACCAAAGCCGTTTTGTTCTGTTCTGATGCTGCTGCTTTCATTTCTGTTTATTGCGCCAATGAATAACTATTCCTTCCTCAGTGCAAGTTTATACCTCGAGAGGTAGTCAGCTGCCTTTGAAGAGGTTTTATTCGTCCCATGTTTTAACATGTCTCTTCAGGTTTTTTTTCTGGCTGCTTCTTTTCCCCTTTCCTGTAGGCAATTTGGGTTAACACTTCAAATACAAGAAGGTGAATTTTGGTAAACAGAATGACTAATAGACTTTGGTTTTAGTGAATTATTAGAAATAAAAAATTTTTATCTCATAAAATCCATCAAGCTGTTATTTTTGTCTCAGTGGGGTGAAGCTGAGTGTTTGTTGAAGAATTGTATGGCTGAGGGTGGCACAGGTATTCTTGTGTTTGTAATCTATATAAGGCTTGGCATTACTCCCTGGTGGCCTAGGCAAGTGATGGCAATTTTGCACTACTGTTTGTGCTGTTTCAGCAGAACTTAAAATGATTTAAACGTTTCCTGGAGGTTACTTTTTCATTCTAGAAATTCTGTACTTTTGATGCGGATACTTGATAACCAGCTGTGGAAAAGTGTTCAAGGCCTCAAATGTTAGGGAAAGCGTTTATGAAACAATGTCTCTTAAGTTACCTGTGGCCTAAGTTTCCTATGCTACAAGTTACACAACCTCCATTTGCAGTAAAATGCGGGGTCTGTCTGTAGTGACTATTAATCAGAATAGCCAGATCTGCTGCACTGGTTTTTAAGTTCTGCAGAACTACTGTTGCAATAGGGGAACTACAGATTTTACTTACCCAGTTGAAAGCAGTGAGTTAACACCTTGCGCATTCAGCAGTGACAGGTAGATAATTTCTCTTGGCAAATGGAAAGAAAGGGAACTGAAGCTAGTTGCCAAATTTTCAGTGCTACCTTTAAATAATAACAAGAAAACAAAACTAAAAACCCCTTCTTATACTAATGAAGATTACTTTCCAGTTGTGAAATAACTGCTTTGAGTTCTTCTTCCCCATTTCCCCCTCCAAGTCTCTACATAATTAGTTCATGTGCGGCTGTTCTATTAAAAGCTTGTCTGAACTGCAATTTCACAGAGATAAGGCTGATCACATTCACTGGAGCTGTGTCATTGGTAGTAAATCTGAAAAAATTGTGTCCTTCACATTTTATTGTTGTTTAGGGGAGTAAGCATTGATAGGCTTCAGAAATTGTTTATGCATGGAAGGGAAAAGAAAAAGTCCTTTTCTCAGCTCTTGTCACTTCTGCTATATACAATCTTTATATTAAACCTCATGTTTCACAGTATGCTACATAGAAATAAGGTTCTTAGCTGGGTCTTCTAAGATGCCTAGTTGTTATTTTTTTGTTTGTTTGTTTTAAGCTATGTCATGTTGCCTCTTCATTCCAAAATTCAGCAGAAGTCTTTCAGGGCTCACTGTGGTGGTGGTGGTAATTAAAGGTAATAATGAGAGCTGGAAAGTTCAAGTTACTGGGTTTTTTGGGGTTTTTTTGTTTGTTTGTTTGTTTGTTTTCTTAATCTAGGCATTCACTGTATGTTTGTAACCATATTAAAAAAAAAAAGAAGTTGGATTAAAAAAAACTCACCACACACCAAGCCTGGCATTTATAAAGATTATTACAGAAGCTACAGCTGCTGACTGATACAAATTAAATATTGCATCACATGTAGTTTTAATACTGTTAGTGTCTGGGTACTCCCTATAGTAGAAGATAAAAACACCTCAATTAAGTCCTGATTATCATCTCATCTGGTACAAGTGATCTTATTCGTATGCAATCTTGTTGCAGTTTTATCATGTTTCACGTAATAACGTAGTGAACTGTGGTTTTTCAGTTTGTAAACAACGGACAATTACCACTTGGTTGGAGAATAAAGGACCCAAGACAACTGAGTCCAAAAGGTAAAATACACAGCATACCTATTCAAAAGTTGTGTTCTTTGAGTGGGCCTGTGGGGAGCTGGAAGTGCAGGTTGCCAGTACAGCTAGGCACTGAAAAAAAGGCAGCCCTGTTTCTGCTGCTTTCCTTACCTTGGCGCATCCTCTTGACTATAACCAACTGACAGAATTTCACTACAAAAAGCTAACTAGTCCCCCTCCCCTCTAACCCCCCAAAACCAAAATCTTTTGCTGACTTAGCTTCTTGAAGCACCTCACTGTTTAGGTGAATAAATACTGCTGCTCGGGCAAAGAAAAAGATGGGAACCTGCAGCAAGGGAAGGCAAAGTGGGACTGCTGCTTCCAGTGGCAGCCAACCACTAGATCGAGTTAGCTGTAGTATCAGACTATGTTCTTAGTCAACAGCTCTGATTTTATTTTTGTTTAACATAGGGCAATAAGAGTTGTGGATTTTGGCTGGTGGTCCTGCATTCAACTCACAGTTCTGTTAATTTACAGACAAAAGTCTGTTCTGGTTTGTCTCATTGGACTGTGATTGTAGTATAAGCGTGTACAGCTTGATTTAGTTTGGACCAGAATTTACAGATGCTCAAATGTCCACTTAGGGTATTTTGTGAAAGTTGTTATGAAAGCTTTGCTGCTGAATGGTGCCAGGTAAAGTTTGGTATTTTCTGGTAGTGTAGTCTGTCAGGAGGAATGTTTGCAAGGCAGTGTTAAAATTAAACTTCTGAGAGTTTAACTATCTGATGCAGAGGAGTATCAGATATTGTTTTTCTATAATTGCAGTTGTAAATGTGCTGGTTTGTTTTTCATTGATGTTTGCTAATAAATAGAAATTGAAATCTATAGCAATGCTAAAATAGCTGGGGAAACTTGTGGTGATGATTAATACAGTAGTACACAGGGCTCAATTACAGGCTCACAGGTTGCAGTAAAACAAAGATGTTAAGAGGTTGCTTAAGGAGGGAATGTGGTTTTTTGTTTTTGTTTTAAGATTCCCTTTAGAGTATTGCTTTTATATGCTCTCCTCCAGCCTTGCTGACAGATTACAGCCTAGTCAGTTTTAAGCAGCAGGTTTGTTGTGTAAACACTTCACATGCCTTTCTGTTGCAGTTAACATCACAATTTTAATTTATTTGAATTTGAACACTGTGAGATTTGATTTCTCATCTTAAGCTGACAACAGATATTGTCAATACCTTTGAACAGTCATTTATTGAGATGACAGCAGTAAGATAACTTTCATTTTTCTTCATCAAAATTTTCAGTGCAGGAACAAATGCATCGATGGGGAGTTAAATTATCATAACATAAAACCCTCTAAAATCCTTTTGTTTTCAAATAATCTTCATATGGGTGAAGTTCCAAGCTATCATCTATTGCTCCAAGCCCCCCTGCCCCCTTTTTTTTTTCCTTTTTCTTCTGTAGTGGTAAAGGTGTGAATGCTATCTCTTTATCCAGAGTGCTCTTTGAAGACGATCTGTTATCATTCATGGAGACAATTAATGCCTTCAGGAGTCTATTAAGATGTTCAGTTGCTGAATTTAGGATTATGTGATAATTGCATATTTTTAGTGTAGATGGGAAATTGGGCAATGACCAGACCGTGATACAGAGTTTAGCGTGCTTAGTTTGAATTGATTATATACAATGCTGTAACAATACACTCAGGGGAGGGTATTGTTCAGAGTGATATATTCACCAAGACTAGTCAGGGTTTTTTTAATATTCATATGGCATCTAAGTATGTACTTACACAAAAATTAATACATAAGTGTGAAATGACTTTCCAATGTCATCTTGAAAAGTTTCATCTGCTCATAAAAAACTCGCTTCATTTCGCTGTGTAACCACCAGGACACATTTCTTTCCATTCTTTGTGTAAGACAGCGCAGGACAAATTAGGTTATTTTTCTCTTTAAAGATAATAATTGATTTAATGTGTCTTTTAATTTTTATTATCAGTTCTAAATGGATTTTACTCTTATGTTTTTGGTTTGTGATTTTTTTTTTTTGAAGAGTCGTGGGCTGCTTGTAAAAGTAAGGAGGTAATAGGATGTTTTTGAGACTATGGACTACTGTGCCCTGCTCTTCTGAAAGATGAATTTGTAGCTCTGAGGGAATGGCTACAAAACCATTGATTTCCTTGCTCACTGTATTTAACTGATTAAAATGAAAGTTAAAGAGGACTTTATCATGACTTCAACATTTTTCATCTGGAGAAAATAACTAAATAATAGCTTAATACTGTTTAGATTTGAAAATAAGGGTAATGAATCACTGGAGTAGATTTCTAAGGTAAGCAACTGATTCATCATCCTTTGGAGCCTTTAAATGGAAATATGTTGTTACTAAGCTACATTCCCCAGTGCAGTAAAACTTGTTGATCCTGGTAGTGCTCAGTTAGAGAGTATAATGGGTAAAATTCTGTAGTTTCTGTTGTTTGTTTATAATCATTGCTTTAAATATATATACACACACACACAAATTTTATTTGGAGATAAGACATTAAATTCCTTTACTTCTTTTCCACAGCTTACACAGCAAAGTTAATACTGAAGCAAATCCGAAGATGACTTCCATTAAAAAAGAGAACTTTTGTGAGCATGATGTGAAAAAACTAGAGAATATTTGTCAGCAAAATTATTCAAAAATATCTGTGGAAGTTGGTGCAAAGCATGTACATTTACCTCAGACAGGCAGCATGTATAACTGGGAGGCTGAGGACAAAGATCCAGTCTTAGACACAGAGCCTGTAAAGGGGATGCAGTCTGGAGACCTCTTTAAGAATGCCAACATCGATCAGATGCACAAAACTGGCAAGCAGGCTCAGAGAGGCTGTGAAGAAAGCAGTGACAGTTGGACTCAGAGGAAATTATCATCAGGCCGGTCTTTGAAAATGGGAAATACAAAACTTTCTTCAAAAGACACTGAGACAGATGGACAAGTGGCTTCATGCAATTCACAGAAGCTGAAGAGTTGCAATTCTGTCTCTCTAATGGGGGAACAAGAAGAAGGGGATGTAGTTCCAGAAAGTCCACTTTCAGATGCTGGTTGTGACGCTTGTATATCTGATCTTGGAGGTCCTGGGAAACTGAGCAAATGTCAGAGCAGTTCAGGGGATTCACCTGCTTTTGAGAAAGAGAGTGAACCGGAGTCACCGATGGATGTAGATAATTCTAAAAATAGCTGTCATGGCTCAGAGGCTGATGAAGAAACAAGTCAGTTTCTCGATGAGCGAGAGGACATCAATATGTCAAAATCCATAAACAAATCTTTTAGAATTCAATATGGGGATGCTGAACTGGAGTCAAGAAAGTCACAGTTTTCTGCCAAGGGCTGTGAAAGCTTTGAGGAAATAGATAATTCTGTTAAAGAGGATAGTCTGCATACAAAGTCACCTGGGATCTCTCCTACTCTATCATCAGAATGCAAAGGTGCAAAACAGAGTGTGAAGAGAGACTCCAAAATCACCTCTCACTTCATGAGGATACCTAAAGTAGAGGAGAAAAGGTAGCGTTCTGTCTGCCTCTTCATCTGTTTTTTCACACTTAAAAATTTCCACTTGGGTAATAGCACTTTGGAGGCTGGATTGTATAAAGAGTTTTGCAAAATGTATGTTAAGACACAAAGACAACTGATGCAAGCTTGAAATAACTTATTTTTAATGGGACTACTTGTGGGTTTTTTAAAGGATACATTTGTCCAGTACAATTTTTTAAATCGTTGGAGATCTGTTAAAATTCGGACTTAAGGACACTGTAGGAAGTTGATTTTCTTTATCAAAGAAGTGATTTAAGATGATGGGATTTCTAATGCTTGAAAATGAATCGTGGTACAGGAGTGCTTTATGGAGTGTTGCTCTAGCATTCATTATTTAATTCAGAATACTTGAGGAAACTGGTGTTTTCTTGTGGTTTTTTTTAGTTCCATCTGTCAAAAAATACTGCATCTGTTTTATTGAAGCATCAGTGCTACTGGTGCTTTGATTGAAATAGACATGAAAAAATTCACTTTTGAAAGCAGTTGTAGAGATGTGTGTGAGTGGTTTGGGGGGTTTTTTTTGGCTTTATTCATCATTTGGGAGAGAGAAGGACTGGTGATGATACGCTACAGCAATGAAAATAGAAGTGCTGAGCATGACCCAGGACTCCACATGCTAGGTGTTGTGTAAGGACAAAAGGATAATCTCTGCTCTGAAGAGTTTAGATTTCAGTGGGAACTGAGAAAGTGAATAAACAGCAAAGGAGTAAGCAGAAAGAAGAGGACTGTGTGTGTTGGTGTGATAAGTGATTATCTCTATAGACTGAAGTCCTTAAAGCAGGGCAAGAAAGTAGTTTTGTACATCTTTACTGGGTGGTCCCTTCCGGATGTGAAGAGCAGCACATATCATACTTTTCAAGGAAATGAAGAAGAGGTGATGGAGGGTGGCTAGCTAGCATTGGGAGCTTGCATTTGAGAAATCTTAAGAGATGAGTAGGCTGAGAGTGGATTTGGAAAACAAAAAAAGGTAGTTTTAGGAAAAATGGATGGATGAAGAATTTGCTAAAAAAAGCATGGAAAAGGGGGTCATAAAGTTTAAAAAGACGGGCTTAGGGAGTACTCTTTTCACTAATTTATATGAATTGCTGTTGTAGCAAAGCAGCAGAGGTTGCAGGTTGTGTTTGTCAGGGCTAGAGCATCGTGTGTTACAGTAAATCCATGTTTGAGAAGGGAAACTCATGCAAAAGTTTTGCTGTGTGGATAGATGGGGATCCTAGCAATGCTTTACAGAATAATTAGTAAGGTAGAGTATGAGGCTGTAGAGAGACTATTTTTCCTTTTCTTTTGGGGGCCTAAACAAGATGATGTGAAGGTTATAAACCTCAGTGCCGGGCAAAATAGTGGTATTGCCTATAGTGCTGTTGTGGTTTAAGCCCAGCCAGCAACTAGGCACCACACAGCTGCTTGCTCACTTCCCGCCCTCCCCCGCCCTGAGGGATGAGGAGGAGAATCGGGGAATAAAGTAAAACTCATGGATTGAAATAAGAACAATTTAATAACTAAAGTAAAATAAAATGTTATATGAACAACAACAATAATAAATGTAATAATAATAATAATGAAAAGGAAAATAATAATAATACAATGATACACAATGCAATTGCTCACTACCCACTGACCGATGCCTGAGCAGTGATCTGCCCCTCCTGGCCAACTCCCCTCAGTTTATGTACTGAGCATGACGTTCTATGGTACGGAATATCCCTTTGGCTAGTTCGGGTCAGCTGTCCTGGCCACACTCCCTCCCAGCTTCTTGTACACCTCCTCGCTGGCAGAGCATGGGAAACTGAACAATCCTTCACTTAGGATAAGTGCTAGTTAGCAACAACTAAAACATCAGTGTGTTATCAACATTATTTACGCACTAAATCCAAAACACAGCACTGTACCAGCTACCAGGCAGAAAATTAACTCCGTCCCAGCTGAAACCAGGACAAGTGCTTAAGAGGGCAATTAGAAAATCTTAAAGCTTTCCTCCTGGTTTTCATTAGACCGAGTCTAATAAGATAATAGAGTGGCTCAAATCTGAACTTGCAGAGAAGGCAGCAGTAATGTATCAAACAGGTTTCAGTCATCAGTAATGCTATGCCAGAATTACTCTTTGGCTGTCAGATGAGCACAGTGGGTCTGTACCCAGTGTCATGCTGATGTGGCTACACTATTTGCATGTGATCGGCCAGGTTGGAGGCATTGTCTGCACCTGAAGATACCGGCACATGCATAAAGGCAGTGAACAGGTTGGACAACATCTTTATCCAAGGGTGGAGTGAGTTCGCCAATGGGAATTTAGAGGTCTAAACAGTACCTCAAAGTGTAGGCTTTTAACTTGTTTTGCATTTTGCTCTGAGAACTTTCTCTTGCATGAGAAGCATCTGGTATGTTACATCAAACATACAGCAGGTTCAGATTTTTCTTCCCCAAAATCTCAGATCCATTCAAATACCTTTGATCATTAAAGAGGATGGGTTCATCAGCTCTTGCATATATTTGATTTTTGCAAGTGTTTTTGGGATTATTTTTAAATTTCTACTTCCATTGCTGCAAGTATTGTATGCTTGGCATGAAAAATGGAACCCTAGTGAGAAAAGGTGGTTAAGAAGTTGTTTTTTGGGGTGGGTTGTTTGTTTGTTGTTTTTTTTGTTGTTGTTGTTTTAGTTTGAAGAAGGAATATGTGCATCTGGGCATGTACATGTGTTTGTTTTCTAACAGTTGAGAAGGGGCTGTAGAGGGTATCCTGACAAATGCAGACCAATGAGTCTGTCTCCTGTCCCTGCATAAACAGATCCTGTTGGGAAAGAGCATGACTCTGCAGAGGAGAACCCTGCCTTGCTAACATATTGCAGTTCTGTGAAGGTGTTTGTAAGCCTGTAGAGAAGAGTGTTTCGGTAGACATTGTGTACACGTCTGTGTTGGGTGGGAAGAGGTTGGTGGTGGCAGGGGTTTTCCCCAGATAAAGCTTTGGCCTGGGGCCACTGCAAAGTCTAGCAAATAAACTGATTCAGTTACAAACATAACCCTGGGGTGGAAGTTCATGTATTTGCTTACCAGGTTTTTCAGTGGAAATAAAATGTTTCAATGTATTTTATTTTAACAGCAGAAAAGAAAAGTGTGAATTCAAACCCCAGAGGCCAGGAAGGAAGATTCCTAAATATATGCCACCTCCTCTTCCGACTAATAAGAAATGGTTTGGGACACCGATTGAAGAGATGAGAAGAATGCCTATGTGTGGGGCCCGTCTTCCTCATCTGCGACCCTCAGCCAATCATACAGTAACCGTCAGAGTACGATAATTGAGTGTATTACCTGAAATCAAATTTCTTACTGAATTGTTCAAGAACATGAAATGCCAAATGTTAGTATTGTAGTATTAGCAGGCTGTGGAAGTCTTTCTTCACCGTTCCTTGCGAGCAGACTGGGGCAACTGATATTCCTGAAAATTAACCTTTCTGATGCACAGAATTAGGATATTAAGATCCAGAAGCAATGTAATTATGGTTTTAATGCCTCTGGCTTTTAGGGACGAGTATTTTTCTTTTGCATAGGGGTGTGTGTGTACTTCCTTGGCTGAGTTGTAAACTGTGGCAATTTAAATACACCTGCAAGTAAAATCTTTACTTCAATGTTTTCATGTTATATTTTCATTTTAATATGATTCTATTTGGGGTTCAAGATATACAAAACGCTCAAGATACTCAAGATATGATAAAGACAAAGAATGAAGAGGAGATTCGAGCAATTTTACCACTGCATTTTAGATCAAATCGGATACATTTGCCTTTAATCCTTTGGAGTAGTATGCAGTCAAGTTATTGTTGAAATAAAACATGTGACCAGAAATCTGTAGGGTCATGGATAAATCACAAACAAAAGAGAAGCACATTAAGTTTAAATTCAAGTTCTGAGAGAATCAGTGCTGCCAGAAGGCCATACAGCAGATTAAGTCTTTAAGAACATTTTATTTTTATATTTCTGATATTCTGTGGAGTAAACTTGAAATACTGCTATATCTATATTGATTTCCCATCCTCTTCAGTGTTAGGTTAAAAATGTTATTTCTGCACACAACTATGGTTAGATTTAAAAATACATTTTGAAAATATTTGCATGAAACTATGTAGATAGTTAAATTCATAAATGAGGAAGTATTTAGCTGATAAATGGACACAAAATAATTGCATGTATTTAATTTATTTCAGTATGTTTCAAGAGGTCAAATGATAAGGTGGTGTTCTTTCCACCAAACATAAGAGTAACAGATGGATTTTTTTCTAACTGAATATTCGTTATGTGATCAAGTTGTAGCTTTCCTCTCTCCAAAAAGGATGGCCATAGATGAGAGCTTTTTTAACTATGTTTTTGCTTACTATTTATTTCTTCAATTTAAAAACTTGCATAGAGAGTCTGAGCTCCCCCCCCGCTTCTGTGTTGCAGGTAGATCTTCTGAGGGAAGGAGAGGTGCCTAAACCTTTTCCAACTCACTACAAAGATTTGTGGGACAACAAACATGTTAAAATGCCTTGTTCAGAACAAAATTTATACCCTGTAGAGGATGAGGTAAGATAAAATATTTACAGTTGTGTAATCAAATAAGTTTGTTTATGTATAAATGAGTTTTCAGTTTACTGCATTTGCTCAGTTAGCAAGTTGTGTGTATGGAATTGGAAAATCAAATAGATGAACATACCTGGTCTGAAAAGCTGGATTCTGGGTCGTGATGCTTCAGGCAGAGCAGAAGATTTTTTTTTTTTCCTAGTAATTATTTTACCTAGCTATTGATTTGATGGTGTATATATTTCTGTACTTATATGGAATATAAGCTTATACTCCATATAAGTTATATATTTATGTGATTTGCGGGTCTTTTTGTGAAGAAATTTGGGATGCCAACAGATGTGAATGAATTTGTAACCACGTTCTGATTATAATATTCTGTCAGGTATTGCTGGTAGGTTGAGGTACATGTCTGCTGTTCTGCTAAAACAGTGACGGAGAGATTAGAGTTAGCCCTGCATGGTTTGTTGATCTGATATTTCTTGTCACTGCTCAAGGATTACTTAAACGTACCTGCTGAAATACTTAAGACTGTGGTGAATAAAATGAGCAAGTGTGTCCTGTAGTGAAGACTGTATAATGATTATTCATACTTGAATCTGGAACAAAGAACTTTTATAGCCTCTAGGAAGTACTCTTGTTTTTTTCATTTATCAATTTTACAGATACAGTATAAAATATATTTAATTGATGTTTCAGAGATAAAGCACTCATAAGATCTTTGCCAGTTGCGCAAGATGAGTTGTCTCTGTCCTTGTGGTAGTCTTGTAAGAAATATTATTGCTTGCAATGGGCAATAATACTTTCTGTTGAGGAAAAATATCACAGGATGTCTTAAATTTGGGTTGGCGCAAGAGTCAGCCACAGCAATATGCTTTTAGAATCTGTGCTCTTATTGTTCTTAATATTACATTTTTATAAAGTTGATTCATTTTATATTTTTGAGTTGCAGATCTTATAAACTATGGTCCTGTAAATCTCTTGTCTTCACAAGGAAGGGCATTATTTGTCCGTCATGAGATGGCATTAGAAAGAGTGCTGCATATATAAAAAAGAGATCTTTTTATGAATTTTGTGAATGCTTCAATTAAAAAGGAACTCTTAAGGAAGTAAAAGGCAGTGGACTAGAAGTTGCAGAAGTACTTTACAGTTACTCAAAATACGTGGTTTATTTTTAAAGAACTTCACAAATAGAACAAACTTTATTTAAAAAAAATCAAGGAAGACAATTATTAGTAGATGTGTCTTTCTGTTTTCAGTAACTTCATCTGACTTTGTTTTGGGCTTTTGTTTTAAAGAACGGAGATAGAACTGCTGGAAGTCGATGGGAACTAATCCAAACTGCCTTACTTAACAAATTCACTTGCTCGCATGATTTGAAGGTAAGCTTGTCAATTCAAAATCAAATCTATGTACATGTATGTATGTTCAGGCTCTCCATGTACTGTTAGTGATTCTGACTTGGTCCTATTTGTTTAATCACTTATAAAAATAAGTTTTAAAAAAATCTATGCTGTTCAAGGGATTCCGTAATGAATTAAGGGTCTTAATTAATGAGTCTTAAGTGTTACCACTGAATTTATTAGGTATTATTAAAATGAATTGTCTTTATAAGTCTACACAAAACTGTGTTTGTCCAGCGGTATTTACTAGTTTGTGGTAAATGAAGCATGTAGGCTTTTTCTGTAACCAGATGGTAGGGAGATGCACAGGTTAGAGAGTTTGAAACAGTAACTGTTCATACCGGTATACTCCACTAAAATTGCAATGATTCAAGCTGCTAACAAAAATCTGTAAATTTTGGAGACTAATGCTCTGTTGATAACTCTTATAGTTCTCATTGGCTTTAATGAATTGTGATTTGGAGCAGCTTAGAGTTTCTATTATGTTTTTTGTGAAGAATAATGTAATTTAGATTATACCTGAAAGGCAGGGAAGGAGGAGGATGCAAAAGCTACAGATAAACTTTAAACAAATAAATATTGCTCCCCCGACATCTAATGAAACTTCCCTTGATAATACTATTTTATTTCCTGTTTTTTCTTGAGAATTTTTTAAAGGTGGTTGTTGTTGTAAGGGCCTATTTAATTTGTTGCGGTTCTGATTCTTTAAGTTCATAAACTGGTAAAACTTCTGCTATATTGCTGAGGTTGCTATTTTTAAAGAGAGCAAGCATGGGGTGGGGAATGTTTATGTTGTGTGGTTTAGGCAGATCCAAGCATGCCTTATCTTGTTTTGTGCTAGGAGGAAAACCCTGTAGACTAAAGCTTATTCAGTGCTAAACCTAAAATACAGGATTCAGTACCATGGAGTCACACTGTATTAATACAGTTCTATGGATTTTGATAGGCTCTGTGACAGGTTTTAGCCACTAGATGGTACTGTTCCTTCAAAAAGGAAATTTCATAAAATCATTTTTCTTCTCTTAAGTATCTCTAGGCTTTATTTTGTTGTGCTCTTTCCCTAGGATGCTATACTGAGATACAACATTGCTTATTCCAAGAAATGGGACTTCACTGCTCTTACTGACTTCTGTGAGAAGGTAAACCAAGTCTAAAATAGGAAGAAAAGTGAAAAATAAAAAATATAAGTGACTACTTTGTCTATATGTCTCAATGCTTTTGGCTTTATTTCCCTTTTCAAGAGTAAAGGGTTTGCAATCATCATCTGTGTGGACAGTTATTTGGCTGGTAACTTCAGTTGAAATGATAATTATACTTTATAAGCTGGATTCATTTTAAATCTTATGCAGGTAATTTGGGTACTTCAGTAAGAACTAAGGTTACTGAAGGTAAGGTGAGAAATGCCTTTTCTCTGTTTTATGATAACCAGAATTATTAATAAATTGTATTAATATTTCCACTGTAATGGTTCTTGTTTTAAAAAGTATTGCTCTTTTTTTCCTTGTTTAAACAACTTTAGTGTTATAATACAGTGGTGTTTGTATAGACTGTGCTTTGCTGGTCTAGCAGTAAAATTTTGCTATATGCTGAGATGATGAATTTAAACTGCAGAGCCTTTGAAAGACTGGGATGGTTTTTATGACTTCACATTACTTTTCTGGAAGAGGATGGAAAATAAAAATTAATAGTAGGTGGCAAATGCAAGTTGGACTATGTACACCCTGACTGATGTTCAGAAACTATGCTAATTAAAGCAGTATGGGATGTTAAATGAGATGCAGTAGAAATTGTATTTTTCTTCCACCAACTCAGAAGTGCTTTTAAAACGCGTGTGCCTGTTTTCTTGGGAGGGGCTTGCTAAGCTGTATTAAGGTTCATTGGAAACTAAATTTGATTTGAAGTCAATTTTGTCAGTTCTGTATGTTTAAAATAGATGTCTACTTAATTCATGTGATCAGAGGAACTGTTCTTTCTATTGCCTGTTTCCGTTGCATATAGGGACTACTATTTAACAGAATGAGTTTTGTTTTGCATGCAACACAGTATTTTTATTACTCGCAGAAGGTACCTATAAAACTACCGGTGGTATCATATTTGCTAGCCATGAGAGCTACTATGTTCGCTCATCTTGCCAATGTAGTGCTCCCTCCTCTCACATGTGGGGTGTCTCTGTTTTTCAGGCTGGCTGGTAGAGGCTGTGGATATTTGGCCTCTTTGCTCCTGTTGACTCTTGTACTAACTGAAATTAACTTGGGCTGTTCAACTGTTCAATCTTGTGTTACTGAAGAATACATATTTAAATTATTAGAATGTTTTAAAGTACAAGCAAACTATTTATTTAAAATCTGACTTGGAAATGTACCAGATTTGCATCGGATTGCTACAAACACAACTGAGCTTGTCCTGATGTGTTCATATCGTGCGTCTGGGAGTTCGGAAACTATGCATGATTAGATTCAGAGATCATCAGCCAGGGAGAATAAGTAATATCGGCTGTCTCCAGAGAAGAGAGTAACAGTAGGGAAATAAACTATGTATCAGGCATCAATCTTTCACTGAGGGTGAAAAGGCAATTTCTGTCACCTGGGAATGATGATTTATTTGTGAGGTTCCCAGATGAAGGGAGGAGAGCTGTTTCAAAACATGGATTTTTCACCAAGGTGAAGAGTGTGCAGCAGTATATTAAATAAGGAGCAGTGAAGCACTATAAGACAGTGGCTCCTTGTAGACCACAGGAGCAGAATCTTACCCTGACTTTGTTTATTGAATATATTGAATTTAGTGAACAGAACGTGGGGGGAATACATCTTGCAGAGAGATGTTTAAATCTTTTCTGTTATTAAGGGATGTGTGAACTCTTCAAGTTCTGTAAATTAACAAGGCATCTGCTTTCAAAGACTGTTTGCAGTCTGCTTAAGTCAGGAGCTATTGAGTGAAAAGTTGAGATCCTCTGTGGAAATGCCTAAATATACTAGCCTGTAGTGAAATGTAGTTTTTGAAGTTACTGTATTTGGGAGTTAATGATTAAGTGCTTACCATTGGCTTGTGTGTTTTCTTGTTTATCTTACTGTTTTGAGGGAACGGGAAACTGTGTCAAGTGATGTTTGCTCAGTAGAAGTTGAGAGGGTTGGTTGAAAGGAAAGCTGGCTTGACTAATCAGCCCAAAGGGAGGGGCAGCAGCTCAACAAAGGGAGAAATAGTCACTAATATATATTAAAAGAAAAAGATTAAAACAGAATCTCTGATCCTCAAATATCTATTTATATTCTTGGTTACTATTGGCTTCCAATGCATTCTTAACCAAGAATTCTGTGGTCTCATTTAGAAGGCAGCTGGGTCCACAAATCTAATAGTGTCTATTTTAGTGATTCATTTAAGGCCACTGTATTCAGATATTACTTCAATAAGTCTGTGCTTGGTGAATTATAAAGTACCATTTGTTATTTTATCTTCTGATTCTGGACACAGCTCACCTTATCTATTAATCTGTTAAATGCTTTCATATCAGTCTTACATTGTGTTTCCTATTTTAGGTAGTTTCTTTCCAAGTTACACAGTCAAAATATGCAGCATTTTTAAATCCTACCTGTAAGATTCAAATCAATGTCCTTGTAATAACAATAATTACCAGTTTCTTGGGTTTAAGTTTATTTTCCTTTAAGAGTAAAACTCTTTCAGCTTTCTTAACTAATGGGAAATAAATGTCATGTATGTGACCCAGCATTTTTTTTCCAAAACGACATACCCTGACATGTATAGGCTGACCAGTTTTACAGTTTGTCCAAAGTGTTGTCAGAAGAGGGAGCCCTCACACTATTTTCAAAAGATTCTTTTGGATGCCAGTTAATGTTTGGAAGTAAAATTCCTATTTGTACATTGAAGTAAACTTGGGAGCTTGGGGTTTTTTTGTTTCTTTTTAAAAGTTCATAGCGCCCATCAGTAATGTACATAAAGCTCTCAGTAGCTTATTTGCTTCAGACATCTGACAGTTTTGTTGTCCTCTATGGAATTTCCACACTGTTGTATTGATTTGTTTTGCCATCTGTTTGTTAATATTGGCAAACAAGCTTATGATTTACTCAAGTTATTACTTAGTGGATGAAAATTATTAGTGCTAACATTTTTCTTCTTACTTGCAAAATTCTTGTCACTTGGAAGTCATCCTTGCATCAGTTTTCCCAGAACTTACATAGAAGCCAGACAGTAAAGAGTAAACAACAAGCAGAAAAAGAAATGTGAGGAAACTGCTGTGGATGGAGCTGTCTGAGGACCCACAATGTATTGTAGATGAGCTTTATTTACGTGAATGATGATAGGTTGGGGATTTATTACATGCTTTTGGTCAACAGTGCTACATACTGTAGAAATTTTTATTTTTCTTTCTTGTAGACTTGCCCTTCCACTTCCAGGCAAGACCAAATTATTTTGCTTTTTCCCAAGTGCATGAAACAAAAAGCCTAGTGAGGTCATTCAAGGCTTATGTCTTAGACTAATCTCCAACAACAGCAACTTTATTTAAAGAGAAAAGTAGGGCTTTATAATTTAAGATAGTCACACTTGTCTGCTGCTTTAGATTGGGCCTGGTTGTTCTGGACATGCTTTGTTTTTATTGTATCGCTTTAAAGTCTCGTAGAGCTTAAACATAATTCTTGTTAATGCTGTTTCATGAACTCTTCCTCTTATTGCTTGCATCTGTCCTGCTCTTTGAGGAACAGAGGAGTGTTTAAATCTGAAAATGACATGAGATTGTATAAGCAGTGCATAACTTTAAAAGAAGGATCACCTTTAGAGAAATTCAGTTTTAGTTGCATAGTATATAAGAACTTAAGTCAGCAGGATTTATGTTGTGAAGCTTCAGGAACCTTCATGATATAGAACCTGTGTCATTAAAATCTGAGCTCTTTTGAGGTGAACCAGTCAGTGAGCAGCTTCACAACTTGTTTTTGTCCTTTACAGTAGAGCTGTATCAAACTGAGTTGTTTGGTCCTATCTAAAACTTGTGAGTTTTAGCAGCAATACTTAAGTTAATAACAGATCTACTGAAAAAATTTGACAGACACTTAAAGTGACAAAAAGGAACTCTGCAGGCAATGAAACAACAATGGGCACTTTTATTGCTCACATGGTTTAAATTTCAGTCATCTTCTAATCTCCTTTGAAACTTGGAGAACTGTAGCATTTTCATTATTTTAGTTTCAGAAAACAAAAGAATGATGCTCATATGCTTCTTGATTCTTACTTGCGAGTTATCCAAGTTATAGGTTTTCCTGATATGCTTCAGTAAAAGGAAGGAGTCAGATCTAGTAATTTGATTTTTAGCTAATCTTGCTGCTTTTTTGTATATACAAAGCAGAAAGAGAGGGACTTATGTATGCAGGACTGTTAGCATTTAGGATTCCCAAAATATTTGTGTTTAAAGAGTTACTTTGTGAAATAATGTCTGTATGCTATTCAGTGCTGAAAACAACTACATCCAGTATTTAGGCATGTCAAAACTGTAATCTCTGATGATTACTTATGTATTGGAAATTGCAAATAGCTTAGACATAAGTTTGATCTCTTAAGAAGCATAGACCGAAGATTGGAGTTTAGGTAAATCTGTGTGGCATAGACAGTGATTGTCTCTGAGCTTCTGCGAGTCATCTGAAAAATGGATCACAATACATCTTGTAGATGTTCACATTGTATCTGTAAATATTTTTATGTTTGTCTGGCCTCTTTGAGCTTGATTAGCTTGGTGGAAAATTTGTGTCTGTGAAATGGAGAAGATACAACGAGAGGGGTCAGGAACGGTGTAAATGTATGTAATAGTTTCCATATGAGGAACGTCTGAATAAGCTAGGACTGTTCCATCTTTTCATCTTAGTTGAGAGAAGTGCAGAATGGATATAACAGTGGTGTGCAAAATTAATGTAAAAGAGGGTGAAGAGGAAATGACTGTTCGTTCTTCTAGTACAACAGTTAAGGGACACCAGATAAGTGTTCCTTGCAGGTAAGGGTTTCAAAACCAGACAAAAATAATTACTTATTTAGATACTGAATAAAAGGCTGTGGAACTCGTCCAGGGCATGTGGAATATGCTATGGCTTTACATCAGGTTTTGAAGGGATTTGGAGAAATTGCTGGTGGAAAGATCCCA